TTGAACTCCACCACTAAAAAATGAAATCATGAGTTGATTAATCTACCGTTGAAACCAATTAAAATTGGCAACCCAGCACAATAGAAAAAATTTATAATAAAGATGCTTTCCCAAGTTCCTTCCTTCCTGAAGCTGCAAAATTACATAAAGTTGATTTGACAGAACAGTGGTACTGCATATGAGCCAGACTATAAATATTTATGTGATGTTCCATTTCAACATTAAATATATTCGGTTGCACATTTTCAGTGCAATTCTTTTTATAAAGGTCCAACACCAGGATACTGAAATATTCTGTTAAATAAAGAATGGTAAGTAATGCATTTCAAAAGGGGAAAGTTCTATTTGGTCTTCTATTGCATAGTTCAAAAAATAGCAATTAAATAACAAGGAATTCTCAGAATTCTTGTGCACTTTCAATTCCTTTCCTCTCTATTAAAAACAACTATTACTACAACGTTATATTTTCTGAGTGCAACATCACGACAATGTTTTAAGATAGGGTCATATTCAAAAACAGTTCATCAAATTAAGTTTACATGTTTGAACTATATTGGATGGCTCAGTAGTATTACATGTGAAAAGAACCTTTGGATTCATCAAGGATCACATGCTGAACATGAACCAGTGTGATGCAACAGCAAAAAAAGGGAAATGCAATCTTAATCTGCATTAACAGAAGAATATTCAATTCAAGGAAAGGAACAGTCTGAGGCCTGGTCTGAGGAGGAGGAGGAGGAGGGGCCTTGTGCTCCTGAATTGGAGCCTGAATTGGAGCCCACCATGTCTGTAGTGCCTAAGGGAGAAAGAAGTTCTTCCCTGGATGATGGAAATTTCTTTAGAGACAGACCTGCTTTTAGTGAGGATGTTTCACATGAAACACAGCCAGAGGCTCTGCTTCCAGAGGCTCTCCCTGTCCTTGGGAAAGATGTGAGGGAGGTGGAAGATGCTGGATTGTTGCCCATAACTCAGAGTCTTCAGTTACAGTGAGATAGTGCCAAGCAGAGGCAATTGAGGTTTGCTCGGTCTTTGAAAGATAAACAGAGGGATTTCAGGTGGTAGATAGTGTCTCCCTGGCAATCAATTCTGTTTCTTAAGCTAAGCCCTTGGGTTGCTCTATGTGAGAGCAACTCTGCATTTTCAGAAGAAAGTCACCTTTTTCTTGCATTCTGTGACTGGAGATTCTGGTCTTGTTTTCATGTCTTGTTCTCCTGTTTGGGATTGAAGAACCTCATTTGGATACAGTTCTTGGTTTAAGTTTTGTGAATTTTGGCTTTACTGTCAATGTGGGACTTTGTTTATTGCTGCCCCAAGAACACTCTAACTGTAAAATATATTTTGGAAATATATATTTCTTTAATATATATATTTCTTTAATAAACTTTTAATTAGTTAATCGATCCCTGTTGGCTGAGCTATAATTGGGCTAATTAACTCTTCATTTTGGGTGAAAATGAGTCACACAGGTGGCTAGGCTGCAACACAGTCTCACTAATTCTGCATTGGTGGGGCCTCATCTGGAATCCTGCATTCAGTTATGAACACTGTATTTTAAGAACGAAGTAAATACACTGGAGTAGGTTCAGAGAAAGGCAACAAAGGGCCCTTCCACACAGGCCCTATATCCCAAGGTGGCTTACAGTAAAACTTTTTACAAAAAATTACTTTTTATGAAAATTGCAATTTTATAAAGAAAGTTGGTATTTTGCTAGTGATCAATCTTAGTGTTCTTTAAAAATAAAAAATATACTATTGAAAAACAGTAATCCAGTACGACAAATCGATCACACTGACATGAATGTCAAAGATGTCTCTTCGGAGAAAGAATTTAAAATACGAATGTCAACATTAATAATAGTTAATAATTTAATAATAATAGTAGTGATAGCAGAAAAGTAATAACATTAATAGATAGTAATAATGACAACAGTAATAGTAATAACTATAATACTAATGATCCTGCTACTACATCTACCGGTAGTCTCGTACGTTTGTATGGAATCACGATCCATTTCGTTTTATTTCATTCATTTGACCCCATTTTCGTTCGCTGCCTATCCGAATGGGCATTTTGCTCTGCTTCTGAAAGAACTAACATTTTTGGACCAATGGCGGCAATGGGCAGGATTTCCAGGCTCCCTTTCCCCTTGTTTTATGGCTAGAGGGGTGAAAATCACCACACACGGAGGGCATATCGACCACTTTTAGCTCACCAAGTTTTAAAATGTTTGGGTAATCCCCTAATTTTTAGGGATTTTTTTCTAGAAAGAAAATTCCCTTTAAATCATCTCCCCTTTCCTCTGCTGGCGCTTGAAAATGATAACAGAGTTCTTGAAAACTATAACAGAGGTGATGTATAGAGGAGAAGGAGGAACCAACCACCCAGGTAATGCAGAGATGGCGAGGGAGAAAGAAAGAGTAGTTTTCTCAAGGGACAGGTTTAAAGAAAGAGAAAGGCTGAAAGTTTGATAGAGAGATAGTGGTTTTCTAAAGTGATAAGATATTCAACAGAAGCCCAAAATTTTCTTTCCTTTGAAAAATATTTTTTTTAAAAAATACAATACCCAGAGGGGAGGATAAAAAGGAGATTTTCCTTTTGGTTAAATTAGAGAATTATAATTATTATTAAATAATTTTGAAAGGAGAGGAAGGGAGGAGAACACAAAATAGGAGAGAACCCCCTGTGACTAAGATTCTGTGAGTCAGAGGCAGGCACCCAAAGATTTAAAACTATTATTAAAGTAAAGCAAATAGAAAAAGCAGCTAATAAAGAGATCCCCTTATCCCCCACAAAACCCCACAGACATTTCCCAGCACCGAAACCCACCTCCACCCCTTCTAAACTCCCAGTCTCTTTAAATAAAAATAAATAAAACAAAAAAATGCCAAGCGTCCAAGCTAAAGCAAAAAAAAAAAATCTTTCCCTATCAGCTGGCAGCAAGGTAACTTAGGCAAGGAAGGCAAGCAAGCAAGCACTGCAGGCAGGAGGGAGAGCAGCAGCAGCAGCAGCAACAACAACAACAACAACAACAAACAGGCCAGCAAACCGCAGTACTGAAGGACACACCCTCAATGGGTGCTTTGGAGGTGGTCACCCCATTAAATAGTCTGGCAACATCCGTTTCCTTGGCCTCTGATTGGCCAAAAGTCCCAAACACCACCACCTCCTCCTCTGACACATGCAGAAGGACTACCTGGGTTATGTGAGGAAAGTCACATGGCCCGAAAACCAAACAAAAAATGGTTGCAATTCATATTTCTCTTTCATTTCACCCCTTCTTTCATTAAAGAAGGGGTCTTTCATTTCGTACCATTTGAATGAACTGTATGAAGTTAAAGCATGAATAAAACAAATGAGACAAATACCGGGCCCATCTCTATCTACTGATACTATGTATTAATAGTAATTGAACGTATTAATAGTAATCATAAATTGAATAATAATAACACCAATAATAACTTTTTTCTCAATTTGCTTGTTTTGTGAGTATTCATTTGGATTTAACTTCAAAAACATCATAACATTTCTTCAGTCCTTCACGGACCCCTTGTAATGATATCCCTGGACCCCAGGTTGAGAACTACTGCCTTAAGGACTGTCACAAGGATACAGGCCTGTTTGCTACTGCTCAGAGAGAAAAATCAAGTCTAATAGTTTTAAGTTGCTGGAGGATAGATTGCAATTGAATATTAGAAGTAACTTCTTGAAAGTAGAATTTATTTATTTATTTATTTATTTATTTATTCATATCCTGCTTTTCTCCCCCTTTGGGGATTCAAAGCAGCTAACAACAAGGTTTAAAACAAACAAGGTACATTGGGATAAAAGAAGTAGACATAATTTAAAAAATAACAGTTGAAACATAATAAAGAAGTTAGACCATAATAGAACGCGTTACAGATCAAAACACATTCAACACTTTAGGTGTAGTTAAAACTAGTTTCAGCAATGAAATTAATTGCTTAGAGAAATGGTGGGGTCTCTTCCTTTAGATGTATTCAAAAAGAGACTGGATGGCTACCTCATGGGGATACTTTACGTGGAAAGTTTGCACTGAGCAGAGTGTTACTCAATGGCCTATGAGGCCCCTTCTAATGCTATGATTTTATAATCATAAAGGAGGGTAGAAAAATCCCTCTGAATATGAAATACAAGGAAGCAAACACAATATTGATTTCATAATAATGGATGAAAATATTAGTATACATTATACTGATATACTTCTGTACCAGAGTGTAAAATTGGAAACAGAGGCTACATCTATCTGAATCAGTTTTTTTAAAGAAAATGTTGATAAAAGGGGGGAAATTGGTATTTTTTGGAAAAGAAATACTGTACTTGAGTTTTGATCTTCCTTTTTATGAGCTACATCTGAACTATGTATCATTGCCAATAAAGGGCCTAGAGAACATTAACCAGTCTGACATGGCAGAAGTGATAGGTCAGAAATTATTTAAAGAAGTTTCATGTAGCTTCCATCACAGCTGCCTTGTCTCCAGTTTTCCAACTGCAATATTACCTGCATGTTCCGGTGAATTCAAAACAGGATCATCATTCTCCTTCTGCCACTCATTTATTCACATCTCCCACCATTTCCCCTTGCAAATATTGCATGAAGACTCATTCGTTCAAACAGTAATTGATTGCTTTAAAATGCCATGCACTATCAAGAGGTGGCTGCAGAATTGAGTAAGGGGCAGGGAGGTGAAGTGGCTTCATTATATGAAAGGACACCAGCTAATAAGTACCACCTAATGGCTGGCTCATGTAGCTATGATCCAATTCAAAAAGTTTCATAACTCATCTTTGGAAACAAAAAGTGCAATCAAATTAAATGTTTTCAAATTGGCCCTACTGCTATATTGGAATTGAAGAATACTATCCACCAGATCTCAAAGAAAACTTTGAAATCAAAGAAAAGTATAGAAGACAAATAGAAGACACAATGCACAAAGTTGTTTACATTCCTGTTAATTCATTTTTTGTAACTGGCTCTTACCTGAGGGTCGGAAAGTCGAGATAAGTCAGGGTACAAGTAGAATTTTATCCCTTCAGAAGCTCCAGGTAGTGTTACTCCTCGAATTAGCAGAATCAAAAGCATGATGTAAGGAAATGTAGCAGTTACATATACAACCTATGATGTAAAAACAAAGGAAGTTATGTTACATTATTATAGAATTTAGGTTGCAGCAAGTTTTTCAAAAATACAAGGCACCGCATAGTATATAGCTTCAAGCTTATAGAAGAGAAGACTACAGCCACTGACAAGTATGCAAGGTTTATGTCCTCCAGGATCAAAAGGAGTAGGATGGGGCATATAAATGATGGGATATTCTTTTTCTAGCATTGTGCTTGTTGGCTTCCCATAAAAAAATATCTGCTGTAAGTCACTGTTTAAAGAATGAAAATTCAGAACTGCACCTCTTCTGTGTTTGTTTCACATTTTAGGAAGGGAATGCCACTGCTATTTCTGGCACCAGACAAATTGAAGAGGCATGTTCAAATTCATCAGGTCTTAAATAACCAGTACACCCTTCAGCATTTTCACACTTGGTGCTTAATCGCAAAGCTTCCTGGCCTCTATCCTAGAGGTCATCAAATTGGTTTTTGTTGTGCAGTCCAGAAACAAATCCTGTGTTTGCCCCACATTTTTGGAAGGGCTTTCCACTGACATTTTTGGCATCTCTGGTGTCAAACAAAGCTGGACTTTATTTTCCAATGATTTGGAACTAGAATCTTCCTGAGGCCAAATGGTTTGGTCTGATTTGGTTTAGGATCTTGGGTTTATAGGTATGTGTACTGTGAATGAACACTTTCAGTTTAGGGTGCTTTAAAATTATTCTAACACACATTCTAACACAGTAAGAGGGATTGAGAACCTGACTAACAAATTCAGGAGGCTAAACTCTAGTAGGAGTCTATACTTTTAGTATGATTATCCAAGGAGGAATGCTCAAAGACACAGCCAATCTCTTCAAGTAGTAAAAGCTGCATCAGTAGAAAAGAATGGACAGTTTCAATGTTGTGGGGAGGTATGAGAAATTCTTGAACGATAGCCAGTGTTATGGTGTGATGGTAAAGGGGTGATGGTAAAAGGCTACGGTAGTAAGATCTAAGCTAGTCCTTGTTACTAATACCAGTAAACCACTCCTGGATGTCTTATAATATGAATTCCTTATGAAGAAACAATCCTAAATACTCTAAGAAATATTTCATATCTATCACCACTAGAACCTAACATGACGACACATAAAAATAAAAACAACTGCTTTATGATTATTTTGTACATATTTTATATTTTCACACTGACTTGAATTATATTTGCATTTTCTTTTTATATTAATTATTATCTATGTTTCTTTTCAGTTGACTTCATTCAGCAGTCTTTTCAGCCCTACTTTCATATACCAAACATTGAATTGGGATGATAAAGTGTCTCTAAAATTCATCTGGCAAGGCACTTGTTATTGCCCTCTGAGTAAATATGAATTGTTGATGTTGTCGTGTGCTTCAAATCCTTCCAACATATGAAAACTCTAAGGTGAACCTATCATAAAGTGGGTTTTTTTTTTGGGGGGGGGGATTAGACAAGATTTGTTCAGAGCAGATTTGGCTTTGCCTTCATCTGAGTAGTAACTTGTCTAAGAACACCATGTATGTTTCTATGGCTGAGTGGAGATTCAAAATCCGATCTGACTCTAATATAAATAATACTGAATGATATTTCACAAATGAGATAAAATGTTGATGAATATTGATATTGATTAATTATTAAGTACAATGATTATACTCTTTGAGATAAAGTTTATACAGGTTCTTGAAATAAAGTGATTCTCATCTTTCAGCCTAGTTCTTAATTGCAGAAGTTTTCATGGAGGAAAAGAGTTAAACTGAGTACTTCACCTGCCTCACACTGCAGAACCCAAGGCAGTTTATAGCACAGATTAAAACAGAACACAGCTAAAATCAATCACAATATTAAGAAACAATGAAAAACAAAATAATTAAACCATCACGTTAAAAGCAATACTAAACTAATAATCCTGTATATAAAAGAAGAAGAAAAATGCCAGCACTATCCATTGAAAACTATAGCATGATGTAGTATTTGAATGCTGAACTAGGTGACTGCAAGGTAAAAAGTTCAAAGCCCTGCTCAGCCATGGAACCTCACTGGGGTTCCATCTACAATGCAGCTTGAAACTAGCTTCTAACTGCAGTGGCCAGACAGCAAACTCTCATGAAAGCGCACAAAAGAAAGCCCTTAATATGCTCCAGTGTTTTGTGGTTTGTGTAATCACCATCTGAGCCTCAGATTGATTCTAGGATTTCCTATGTAATCATCTGCACAGTTCTTTCAATACTGGTTTGGGAAGCTGCATTAAATGGTCAGTGTGTAGATAGAGTCTGAATGGCCTTGGGAAAGACACAGTCGGTCAGCCTCAGGGGGCAGGCTTGCAAAGGCAAGCTGTCTATAAATGGAGAAAAAGAATTAAGTGTATTGTTGTGCTATAGTAACTTTATTATCAAAAAACCTAATCCATCTTCTAAATCTTTTTACTGCCAAGCCCAGAATCTAGCTGAATGCCTTACCATAGCTGCCAAATCCAACTTTTATATATGCTCATTTTTTTAAGTGCAATAGGTTTTTGAAATTTCTACACGGACACATAAAGGAGCTACAATTCTCTGTAGAGTCTGTTTTCCTCAACAGTTTATATATCTTGCTAAACTACACTTCTGGGCAGCACACTGCATATCAAAACAACCATAGTTGGATGGTTTGAATGGGTCAGGAGCTTTGGAGTCTATCACAAAATATCTGAATTATTGTGCTAGTCTATCAAAATTTACCAGAGGGTATAAATAGAATAAAAATGGTTCCACAAGAGATAATACATTTTTGGAACTTGCTTTCAAAAAAGTACCATATCAATATGAACAAAATTTATAGGAATAAAAAATGTACTGAGGGTGTGAATTCTTTTGCTATAAAATGCAATTTTCCAAGCCTTGTATCAAAGGGATTTGATACATTCCGATAGTTTTGATCCGTACATAATATTCTACTTGCAGCCAACAATGTATTTCTGCCTATAACTCATTTTTCTTGCATTTCTCTCCATTCCCTTTCCTTCCTTCCTTCCTTCCTTCCTTCCTTCCTTCCTTCCTTCCTTCCTTCCTTCCTTCCTTCCTTCCTTCCTTCCTTTCTTTCTTTCTTTCTTGGGTTTGGTATATTTTGGAAACAAAATCCACACAGGATAATTAATAGATTTCGTCTTGAATGTTCCCATTTCAGGACACCCTTTTTCATCTCCTTGAAATAATTTCTTTATAGGGACTGACACTAGATGCACATATCTAACTGAGAAAGAAAAACATGATTGGATTGGCATACAGATACTCTCTGATCTAAGAAACAAAAGATTGTGAAAGGACTGTAAAGTGAACCATACACTCATGAATCTGGACCAACATATGTATCATACACATGTTTTCACCTATGACAATTATTTTCCCCATTCTAACATTTATGTTTCTTGTGATGGAGAATATGGATCTTTGTTAAACTCAAATATATTGGTAAGAGCCTGGTAGGAACATTTTACACATGTTTATTTTTAGCCAGCTAAAACAATATCCTTTCTTCAGTGAGGCATTTACCATTACCCTTTTGATTAACTTTTACTCAATCATTCAATGACTTTGGATCTTGTGTTGTGTTAACAGTTTATTTTAATTTACTGATGTATTATGATTTTTATGATTTTCACTGATTTCAATGTATGGTGTATATTGTATTTGTATGGTTATGTTTGTTGTGGCATTGAATAATTGCCAATTTGGAAAATGCTCTGAGTCTTCGTCTGGGTGAGACAGAGCAAGGTAAAAATACGGTAAATAAAATAAACAAACAAACAAATAAATAAGGGCAAAATTAATTTGCTTCATTCCTCCAATGCACTTGTAAACACTTTTGGTCTTCACAATCTGAAAAATATCCATACAAAATGAATCAAAGCTTTCTATATTTGCTTACTAAACTGAAAATAAAGTCCATGTACGTTCACTAGAAATTATACTCATATTAAAAAAGGAATTTTTAAAATGACAAAAAACATTAATTGATGTATAATAGGATTAACACGATTTTCATATCAATTGGAAATGTGGTACTATGACAAAGCTGCATGCAAAATAGAAAGCTTTGATTCATAGGGTTTCCATAAGTCAAAGTTGACTTGACAATAATTACAAACAAGAAATATTAACATGTATTAAAACACTGACTAAATGTTTTGAACATGGATACAAAGTAATGCATGGTTGACCAAAGATCATCCGAAAGGGGTAAAATTGTGCATATTGTATATCTGTAGTTCCACTGTTATATTTCCACCTAACCTTGTAAACTATACCTTTCAGTGCTTCCACTGTAAAGTTTAAAAAATATTTCAAGGCAATTTTGCAATTCCAGCTAAGTTTCTTCCTGAAATTGCCAATGAAACTTAAAATCAAAATATTACTGGCATGGGGATGGTGAAGTGGAGAAGAGAGATGAAAATGGGAGCTGAAGTGAATCCCACCATTTGGCATCATTTTGGCGCCATTCTTTGGCATCCTGGCATGCCAGCAAAGAAGCAGAACAGCCCCATCACACAAGATACATGATGGAAACATGGCATGATCTGTGACTATCATGAGGAGGAGGCAGACCAGCAACAAACTACACATAGTGTCATGTGATAGGGACCAATAGCAAAGGTGACAATCCTGCTTCTATGATGCTTTGCCTCCTTCATGTGATAAAGTCCTGTACTGTGGGGAAACTATATGTCACTCTCCCATTCCTCATACACAGATGAAGTATCTTCCACTCCTGATCAGGATCAGTGCCAATAAAGGTGCAGCTTCTCTACAGTACGTAACAGTTTATCTCACATTAAATAAAATATATTTAACCTGAGTCTGCTCATTATATCCACTTCCTGAATATACTCCATGGTGTTACCTTATTCCCACCTTAAGTACAACTACTGCTCTTTGATTCTGAACTTAATGATCTGGGATTTCAAGCTAAGCCTTACTGCTGTTGTGGGTGATTGTTCCATTACTGGGCAGTGTATATCTCTA